ATAAGCATCAGAAAGATAATTATAGATGAACCCAATGTTAATCCTTTCAGCGATTATTTGTTCAAAGATAAACTATGAATGGTTTAAGCGAAAGAAAGACGGGAATGAAAAGTTGCTTTAATATGTGCAAATGGATATTTTAAGTGTGTCCATTACACAGGAGCATAACACATCACTGTAATGATCCCATATAGTACTTATCCATACTGCAATAATGAAACAGGCTTTTAACTCTGCTTTAAGCCTTTAACAGGATAATGACTCTTCGGTTTCTTTTTGGTTACGGCCACAGTGATATTAAATGTGTGGTTCACCCATATTTTTTTCCTCAGTGAAATCCGTATGGATGGTTTCCAGAAGGGAACTGGTAGGCAAATAGCTGAACCATTGGCCCAAATGTTCATGCTGCAGAGATGATGTCATGCTTTCAAGTTGTGTGTTGCTTGTAGCGATGGGTGAAGGTGCTGTAGTGTTCGCATTCTCTCGTTCTGCCACTCTCCCCTGTTTCCCTGCTGAATTATACATAAGGAACCAAAAAAAGGGTTAATTGTATTTTTCTCTCTGATTCCTTTTTCAGCAAGACAAGCATGAAAGAGACGTGAAGTTATTTGCACTTGTCTGACTGTTAAGGCTTTCAGGATATTACGGTGTCAGTATAAATGAAGGCCCAGTTAGATGAACAGAAAGTCCATTTGCACACAAGCCTTTAAACACTCTTGGAAAAAGCAGACCCAAGAGTTCACAAGGCTCAGATGGATCAGGTTGCAGCCATTTGCTTGTTCGCAGTGTTTGCTGGCAAGGTGGTGGGAAAAGCAGTTCTACATGTCCTAGTGACACGGAGGTGAACTGTTTTCAGAGATTTATCAGCTGTTCAAAAATAACAATAACAACCATAAACCATGCAAGTGCAATTTAAAACTATCTTTGTGATGGTCATTTGTTTGTTTTCGCTTGTGTTCACTGAACTAAACAAAAGAATTTTCTTACTCGATTGACAAATTAATGAATAGAAAATATATTGCAAATGACAAATAAAAAAGAAAAACCTAATAATTTAAAATATTAACTTTAAAGAGTGCATTTAAAAAGAATAAATACAATAATGTTTTTTTTATTTATCAAAAAATACAGCTTAGATCTGTAATTTTGTGAAGAAATGTAGGTTTGCATACATTCCTGTAGTTTTACATACTGAACATGCCGTTTGCGTAACGCCACAATTTTTATGACATCACCATTTTGGAGTTTACCTGTAAATGGTATGATTTTCAGAAACCTTCATGTTGAATCCTGTCAGATGTTTGCATTTTCAGGCCCTCAAGCATAGTTGTGTAAGTGAACAGCTAATATGCAAAATAGTGAACTGTTTTGTCGCAGTGGTATGAGTTTGGGGCAGAACCAAGTGGTTGAAGTAGAAAGAAGTAGAGGTCAGGATTCAGGAAGTAGTGGTCAAATGCAAATGTCCTTCACGTGTACTAAAATGTAGTTTTACTTTAAACTAGGGCTGCACGATGTTGGAAAAATCTAACATTGCAATATTTTTAATTCTGTGACTATATATTGCGATATGAATACAGTTCCACTAGATGATTTGATTACCTTTTTGAAAAGACTTTATAATTTAAGATTAATTGGATGATTCTGTAGGGCAGTTTGTATAATATAATACACAATCTACGAGCATAGATAAATCAAATTTGGAAAAATATGCAAATTAAATAAACAGCATTTCATTGTTTTCCGACGAGTCTACATGCATCCAGGTATACAGTAATTGAATAATCAAATGTAAAATAATACTGCATTTTAGGGCTGCAGAATATTCAAAAAATATGACATTGCGATATTTTGTTTTTGCTGTGATTTATATTGCGATATGAATATTTCGGCAGATGACTTGAATAGCTCTATTTTAAAAGAAAACAATAACTGTGATTGAAATAACTTTGTATGGGGAGTGAATCAGAGAAGTTGTAAGATTAAATAAATAAGATAAAAATGAAATAAGTAGTGAGATATTCAGTTACAGTAATATGATACGATATTATCATGATAATGATACGATATCAGCAATATTATGATATCACGAAAACCACCCACAGCATATCATGATATTTGTAAATCAAGAGGGAAAAATGCGTCAAAAAGTTATAAGATGTATTTTCTTTATTAAAAGTACAAATATTTCTTAGAACTGCAACATTGATATATGTTTGATGTGCCATTACAAGAAGCGCCACCTCACACTATTTTGTCCTGCCCCTGTGGAATTGTCAAATGTAATGTAAAATGTAAACACTGTACATTCTTCATTGCTGATCATCAATAATAGTCCCGACTAGGGCTGCTCAATTATGGGAAAAATCATAATCACGATTATTTCGGTCATAATAGTAATCACGATTAATCAAAATGATATACAGTTAAAGTCAAAATTATTCTCCCTCCTGTGAATTTCCCAAATTATGTTTAACAGAGCAAGGAATTTTATACAGTATTTCCTAAAATTTGTTTTTTTCTGAAGAAAGTCTGGTTTTATTTTGGCTGGAATAAAAGCAGGTTTAAATATTTTTAAAGCTATTTTAAGATCAATATTATTAGCCTTCTTAAGCAATATGTTTTTTGATTGTTTGCAGAATAAACTACTGTTATACAATGACTTGCCTAATTATCCTAATTAAGCCTTTAAATTGCACTTTAAGATAAATCCTTGTATCTTGAAAAATATCTAGTTAAATATTATGTACAGTCATCACAGCAAAGATAAAAGAAATCAGTTATTAGAAATGAGTTATTAAATCTATTATGTTTAGAAATGAGTTGAAAGAAATCTTCTTTCCGTTAAACAGAAATTGGGGAAAAAGAGCCGTTAATAATTCAGGAGGGCTAATAATTCTGACTTCAACTATATATATATGTATATATGTATATATATATATATATATATGCTGTTATTTTCCTCCCTGTAAATAAGGAAAGGGAAATAAATACAATAGAATAAAAATATGAAACAACCTGTGCTTTAAGCATCTTCCCTGTAAGAAAAATAACTTTAATTATAGCTACAAAAGTCCTTCAGTCAAGAGCAGGAAGGGATTTTGTCCTTTTGTTGTTTGATTAATGATTAAAACAGTTGGTAGCAGGAATATTGCTTTTCGACCATTAATGCTTTAAGAGCAGTCCGGTTCTGATTTATGGTTTCACCTTTCACGTGTATTTTGATTCTTAACTAACATGCGATCTTTCGAGCTTTTAAAAACATGAATGATTCAAATGTACATCAATGAATGTTTATCCCATGCTGCAAATATACATTGCAGTACATGATTTTAGTAATTTTCACGTGAAACTGAGCTTTGCAGAGCAACAAATGTGTACAACTGGAAAGAGGGCGGTATAAAATTTAATATTTGTTTTCTTGATTAAGGTTTTTGCATAATTGTTAGAAGCCAAAATTGAAATCGAAACTTTCGATTAATTGTACAGCCATAATCCCAACTACACATTGCTAATACACAGATGCTGCCATGTGACTATTGCAAATGCGCACATTGCAACATGGATGCTGAAACTATTTATTGTGCAGCCCTACTGCAAGTCTTTATGTTATAAAAAGTTCAATAAAAATAATCATTATTAATTTGGCAAAGTTACAAATGGTACAATTTCTTATGCTTGAATGCTTTTAAAACCCTCACACAGTCACAGGCCTCAACACTTGCAAAATGATCAATTATAATCCAGACTCAACATTGCGTACACTCAGGATCTGACTATTGTGAATAATCACATTGCAATATCGATGCTAAAACGATATATTGTGCAGCCCCACTTTAAACTGTTTAAAACAAACAAATTGGACCGCAAGGAAACTTCATTGAAGTATGTTGTTACATTGTTGTTATGCATATAATTTTACATCTAACATTAATAAGCGAGTTGTTAATACATGCAATTGAATACTCTTTGGAAGAGTATGGATTATACAGCAGTCATGTTTCATGAATAGAGCCTTAGAGGCCATATGAAAAGCCACCGCTGCAGTTTTTCATAAAATCTCTGTGTTGTATTAACATGATGCTTGCCAAACAGGCCAAAAAGACCGAAGGATTTACTGCCATGTCATAGTGAATAAATATATGACTGCACATTCAAGGTCAGGTAGTTTGAGGCAAAGAGTCACTGTTTGTACTTTATAAATAACAAACATTCTCAAATGACCATCAGTATGACTTGTTCTTTTGGCCTGAGGCTTGTATTGTGTAAAATGGTGCACCATGTGAAAGGTATTTTGTTGAACGGTTGCTTTTTTTATTGAAAGACTATGTTGTGATCTGTCAAACAATGACTTATGTTAAACCACAGCGTGTTCCTCAGACAGGTACTGCTGTTTGAGATTTTTTTTGTGCTCCATAACATAAACAACCTTTTGCACGTTCTCTTTAATGCCTGACAAGAGATATCAAAGGAGAACCCAGTGGAGGATCCCATAGTAGTCATGCAGAAGCCTGAATTAAAGATGAGACAGGCTGTTCTTGGTGAAAAGAGCAGAGGGGGAAGGACAAGAAAAGATGGCACACATTTCTTTGTTTAACAGATCAGATTGGGACACCGCAGCCCATAGTTTCAGTTTTCCTGCCGCTATGGTTTAGCTCAGCTCGCTGTTTCCCTGTTTGTGTGTATTTGTGGTTTTATTTGTTTTCACAAAGGCTATTCGCCTTAAGTGCAGGAGACACACCTGCTGTGTTTTACAAGAGTCTATCAACAAACTTAAGGCTGTCAAATACACATACCTTTAAGCTAATATTACAAATGCAATGTTACAATGTTGGAAAATGACCCGGTGAGAGAAGCAGAAACTAAGAGATGTCTTTGAAAATCAAGTTTTAGAAATGACAGCCTGGAAACCTGGACGCTTCTCTGACCACAGCAAAATAAATATCACTTGAGGCTAGTCAGCAACATTTAGATTGGTTATTCATCATATTTTGTATTCACAGGCCAACCTGAATGACTCTCACAATCAGATGGTCGTCCACTGGGCCGGGGAGAAGAGTGACGTCATAGTAGCGTTAGCGAGAGACAGCGTTGGTGCCACAGACCCCAAAACCAGCTCTGTGAGTATTACACTTTTTTTCCTAAATTATATTCCAAGAAAGTTTTGTAGTTTTTGACCAGCTAGCTGAAAATATATATGCTTTAAATGACTTTTGTTTATAATAATTATAATTTAAATGACTATTAAATTGTGAACTGTTACCTTAGCAATATGACACACACAACACTGAACACAATGTAAAGAATTTTTTGTTTTTTTTAATGTTTTATTTATACATTTAAAGAATTTTCTATAAAAAGAAATTCACCTTGATATCTTTAAAGGGGTGTTGCAGAGTGTTTGAGGTTTGATTGTGTTTATGGGATGCAAACAATTGCTCATGCTTATTTCACATATCAAATATACCTTAATTGTGCTACTCAGCTAACATGAAAACGACCATCATATTTTCTGGTTCTTCTGATGGGCCGCCTTTATATATGTATTTGGGTTATAAGTAATATGAAACATTCACATAACTGTTGTGAAATTGAGTTCATTATTTCAAATGTAGAAAGCACAGAACGTGGCCACATAGAGAGACATTGTGTGCACTAGGCAAGATTGTGGGTGTTTACAAGGGTTTGACAGAAAAATAGGAATTTATGTGTGTAGCTAAATGGTTAGCAGTGCCAAACAGCATTTCCCGTTGTTTACATCCTTGTTTTCATCCTCGGTACAACATACAGTTGAAGCCAGAAACTGTGCATGTAAGCTATACATTTAACAAGTAAAAATACTTACAGGTTGTGGCTTATAATACACAGCTTCTTCTTTTATTATTGGAACTGCACTCAAAAAATAACTCATTGGATGAACTTAATTTAATTGAGGACAGAATTTAACATCCAATAAATTTGTTTAGCACCAACAAAAAAACTGTACACATTTAAATGCAATCAAGTTGGTCCAAGTTGATTTTATCAAATAAAAGCTTAAATACATTTGTATTTTTATTTAACTTAAACTCAAAGGTCTGATAGAATCATGTAATTCTATTATGTATCGTACATTTCAAGGTCTCTTTTCTTATCCTAGTTTTATCTATAGTAATGAATTAAAACAACCATTTTTAAGCATGTTTCATGAGTTACATAAACGTTTGATTAAAACTGATCTCAGAACTAAGTTTAGGAAAGTTATTTATAGCAAAGCTATAACTGCATTTTTGCTCATTTTTGCTGCCAACACCCAAAGCATGGGTGCTGTGACTGTGTATACATAGACTATTACTTTAACTACATAATTGGCTAAATAAAAAGGTAAATTTTTTCTTTAAATTCCTCCCCAGCTTTGTTCAAATTTAAGTCTTGCTCATCATTTTCCAATAAATAGCCCATTATAGGCAGTTATATTTCATAATTAGGGGGAATTCCTGCTGAGCTGTCTGATGGAGAATGTAGCACCCATAGCATCAGTGAAATATCAAATAACCTAAATATTTTGTCATGTATCAGCCAAAAAATTGCCTTAAAATGTGCGGGTTACCTTGACGCATGTTGATCTTTAAAACTGTTCTTAAATTTTTGACAATGAATTGAGAAAATCTTCATAGAACGCGGAAGCTGAAATCTTTCTGTTGTTCCAGGAACTGACCTGACTCTCTGTTTGCACTCTCTGTTGATAGGAAAAAAAATTATTAACTGAATGATAGGAGAATCAAAAAAGGTATTTGTGCTGAAGGTAAACACAGAAATTACAGTTTAAGTACCAAAACCATCAAGATTTTCTTAAAATAATAAAACTGGAATTCACCTATACTTAGTGGAAAACCCACGCATGGGGGAGAGCATGTATGCAAACTTCACAAAGAACATGCAAACCCCATCTGGTCTAGTCGGGAATCGACCCAGCAACCTTTTTGCTGTGAGGCGACAGTGCTAACCAGCCATCATATATATTTAAGATACCAAGAATATCTTGACGGGCTAGCTTTGCTTTCTACAGCTCTCTGAGTCATACAGATGAAAGGCCTCCCTCTGTTTTTCAGTGCCCTGCACTTTCATTATATTACTTTAAACTCTCTGCACTGCCTGGAAAAAAATGTCTTGTGTCCTGCAATGCTATTTTTTCCCCATCTACATGGCAATAATTGCAGAGTTTTAAATAATTGCAAAGCTTTTACGTTAAAGATTATCTAATGCAAATGCGAGGAAAGTGGTGCGGACTTACTTTATAGGGCACTGCAGCTATTATCTGCTCACCTGTGAAGTACAGGTGTTCTTTGTGACTAGCAAGACAAAGCAAATGATAGCAAAAAGAGCTCCAAATGCAAACCATTTACTTGTAAGCACTGAGATGGCACTTTATTTTCTTTCCTTTGTTGAAATTGCAAGTGATTACAGAAGAGTGCATTACACACACCCTCGGTTCCAAAAACAACACCTCGCAAGAGATTAACTGCTTCATTACAAGCACTTACATTTCTTAAGCCAAATTCTAACAAATTTATCCACTTTGGAGAAGACAGCATCCATTTATGTAGATTTACCATCCAAAATGGGCAATAAATAAGAGAAATAAAACTTATATTGCATTAAAGATGCATCCCTTTTCAAAAAGGGAATATACTATTATGCCAACATTCTCATAATGCAATATATCAATACATGTGTACAAACCCAAATCAGAAAAGGTTCGTACATTATGGAAAAGGCATACCTGTCAACATTGGGATGTGAAAATAAGGGGTATGCCCATTTCTTCACTGTATAACTTAAACATTCTGATTATTGAGCAATGAATGAATCTGTCATTTAGATTTTTCATTTTATTACATTAACAGCTGTCACTTTAAAAATGCACAGATCCAAACTTATAATTATAGGTGGGCATAGATAAATTTTTAAAATCTAGATTAATATGACTGTAATCTTGGAACTAATCTAGATTAAAATGGCTCATTTGAATTCTTCTGAAGGCATTCAGAATCTGTGTGCTACCAGGAATAATTACTAAAAGTAAGTCTTTGAGAACAGGTTTCTCAAGCCAGGTAGCACATTAGACCAGGGGCTCATCTCCTGTTTCCAAAATGCATTACAAGCTGCTTGAGAAACTGTTCTACTATGATAATCGGTGATGAAAATAAATGATGTTCAGTAAGATGTACTTGTGTTTACTAACTGTTTATTCAGTTAAACCTGAACTTTGAACGGTAGGCTTATATAAGCTCGAAATTGTGAATTTTTTTTTATTATATACCTTAATCCCACTAAAGTCATAACTGAACTAAACAAAAATGGAATTAAGACGTGGAATATGCATATATTAGTTGGATTATTGAAGTAAACAACTCAATCAAACTATTACCGTCATGTAGGACTTTTCGCCATATTTTCCGACATGATCCACACACACAGCTGTCAGTAAAGGACCACTAGCACTAGGCTTGGGTGGGATCCAAATTTGATACTGTCAAACCTCCTCCATATTTTATCCCAGTATCCGGTATTACTGTGCATAATAAAAAAAAAATGACGTAAGGCTCAGACAGCGTCAATAAACTGTTGGCTTTGACCTAAACCATTCAGTAACTGAATACCTTACATGCAACCTTAGGTTCGCGGTCACCTGTTTATCTTACTTGTATTCGTCTGCGCAGGACACTCCTCTCATTCGCACACAGACACACACACACACACACACACACACGCACACACACACACACACACACACACACACCAAGCTCTCTCTCTTATTCTCTCTCTCTCTCACACACACACACACACACACACACACACACACACACACACACACACGCATAGAGAGAGAGCATTGCTCGCGTGCTCGCTTTCACCAAACACCAAAGTTACCGACCGATCCCGCGATTTATTCGGAAATTTACTCCCGCACCGCAAGAAATCTGGTCGGCTCCCGTGGTACAGCAGCGGGAATGCAGAGAGCTGTAATCAGACCATAAACATTATACCCGATGGGGCCTGAGCCCGACAGGTACATTTTGATTGACAGCTTTTTAAAAGCCCAAACCCGTTTACAGCCCGACATTATACAAATGTGCTCATACACACCGCTCTATTGCCTTTTTTCAAGAACGAGTCATTTATGTTTTAACATAATTTATTCGTAACAAACGTAGACTATAGGCCACTTGGAAGTTGGAACAAAGAAATAAAATAAGTCCTCTGTAACACCGTAACATCTCAGTACACTAAATAGGTCTAGGTACTAGGGGTGTCACGATTTCAATTTTTAATCGAAATCGATCGAAATTTATGCTCAATTTCGATTATCGAATCAAAAAATAGAATCGTCGATGCTGCCATGCCCCCATGTCACGTCAGCTTGGCTTGCCAAGCGGGAAAAAACAGGCTTGTTTAAGTGCTTGTTAAACTGCAGAAGCAGGAGACCCGTCGACAAAACTTAAACCCTCTGCTCTTTCAATGAAGTCGCCGGTGTGTAATAAGCATTTTGGATTTCCAGTGAGTTATGTTGACAACGTTCGTGTTGTCGACGAAAAAAAAACACAGTTTTGCAAGCCCTGCTATGTACGTATTACGTACGGTTCGTCAGATAGACAACACCGGCATCGCGATCCTCCGCCTGCCCCCGTTGCAAATCCGCTCGCGAAAAGTACTCACTCAGGCCCTGTTTACACTGTCTTTGTTTTTAAATGGCATTTTAGAACGACAACGATTTGACATCCACAGTGGCGTGTAGCATTTCTGAGCAGCCCTCCTTCCTCACTACCACTGAAAATGCACATCACGTGACCACACAGACACAGACGCACTCACAGCCATGCGCTCGAGACGGCAGGTCCAGGCAGTCAGAGGACTGCTTCAGTCTTTCACTCACTTGTACTTAGTCATTTTAGTGATCACCTCAGATACTGTTGGCTGGTTCCTGTTGGTTGTGCGTCTTTTTTACAGACGCCATTATAACGACACAGATCAATGCCTATTCACGAGTCCCGCAGAAAAAGTGATTGACAGGTGGTAATTATGTGTGTATCTTGCCTTTATTCATTTACTGTATGATTTGTTTATGGGTAAAACAAAGACCATGCAGGTCAGGTAGTTTAAACGGTAGGCTACAAATAATTAATTGGTCATTAATTAATTATTCATAATCGAAAATCGAATCGTGCCTTTAGAATCGAAAATGTAATCGAATCAAGGATTTGGAGGGTCATGACACCCTTACTAGGTACATCCACTTAGCCTTTAAATTGGCCACCACACCAATGAAAAGAAGTCTTGCTTTACAAATTAAATCAAAATAAATTATAAATGATGATGGGTATTTTGGCAATAACGAAATTAAGATAAAAGCTCTGCAAGATCTCTTCACAATCTGGCCATAAGGCGACGATGAAGCTGAATATTAAAAGAATATTACCAACATTAGCCTGTATACTCTGTCTACATTATGATTTTATGGTTTAATTAATATTCATTTATAATTTAAAACCCCTTTACTCACCAAGATTAGGCTACGTGTTTTTGTGGAGGAACATTATTGAATCCACTGGCTTTAGCGCAGTCCTGTGCTCAGGGCGTCCAGCAGCACTGAACACCCTTTCACTGGTGCTGCTACAGGCCCAGATGCAGAGTTCTGATCTGGCTGATTTTGCAAGTTTTGGGTAAGATTGTTTGTTCATCTTCTACGAGCCAGGAGCATTCATTTAATTTTCCATGACAGCAGTATCAATGTAGCGAGTCACCTCGTCTTTTTACCTGTCAGCTTGCGGTTAAGCGCTCTACCGTAATACGCAGTGTATGAGCAACCGCCAAAATACTTGGCTAGAACGGCCGTTGGATTTTTTGGGTCCCGTCGGGTTCGGGCAAAGATCTTCATCTCTAATGCAGACCTCTAGTTCATATTTACCACATCTCCCTTCTCGTTCAGTCGAAACGAGAAATACTGCCAAACTGCAGGTCACTTTGGAGCGCTACTCGTCACCTCACCTCACCACTCCCTCTCCCTCCCTCTCCCTCCCTCTCTCTCTCTCCTCCACACTGTCCCATGATGATATACGTTTTTGTAGGCATTAGATAAAGGATTTTTTATATTTTATGATGATATAACGGTATTGAAACTGACACTGTTGCTATTTTTAGATCCCGTGGTATACCATAATACTGTAATACCGCCCAAGCCTAGCAAGCACGCGCGCACGCACACATACACACACATCGCGAAATGCAGAAGTTTTTTTCTTTCCATTTTGTATGTTTTATTAAATTCCATAACACTCTCACCAGTCCTTACTCCTTATTTGCGTATAATACCCCAGTTTGTCACGGGGGGATGAATGAAATGTTCATGAGTGAATGTAAAAGTGCCGAACTGCAGTCAAAATTACAGGAATACTTTTACATGAAAGCACTTCATGTAAACAACTTAATTATATTATTGTCTATTAAGGCAAATAACTAGATTACAGATGTCCATGTAAACTTAGTCAGTAGTGTCCTCGAAGTAAGTGAAAGATTCAGAAGGGCATCCTGCTGATTTGATTCAGAAGGGCAATTTCTTTTCAGACAGCTCACTAGAGACCCAGCTCCCAACCCAACTTTGAGAATAGATCAACGGCGATATTTTTTTTTGTTGTGCGATAAGAGTCTCGCAGCATGTTAACGCTAATAACAGCCTGCCACTAGTTATAATAAAAGTTATAATGAATATATTTTTCGCTTTCCTAACTTTTTATGCTCATTTAGGACAAAATTAATTGTGTTTGGAAAAAAACCCTACCCAGATCGACATCTTTAGATAATATTATTATTAATTAAGTGTATATGTCTGTTCAAACATGCACCCAAAACCCAGACTTTTGCTCCGCTTCAAATCGCATGCACAGAATAAGTTTGGGAAACTACATCTATTTATCACTATGGAGCACATCAGCTAACAGTTACACACTGCTATTTGACTGTTTTGAGGATTGCGTAGGAGTGACAACAGTCTTTTAATGGAAAAGAAGGGAATTCCTTTGTTTTTATTTTAATTTTAAAATGTTTTCATACCTAAATAAGGCAAAAGCACAGAATAGATTCACATTTAAGAGCGAGGGGCATCCCCTGGTGGTTCGCCAGTATGGGTTGTGTATATGAAGGATTGGCTTTTTAATGTTTATTGCCACCCTTTATAGAACGATTGATAATATGGGAGAAATACAGGAAAATACCTTTTCAGGATGAAGGCGGGATAGAACTGTAAAATACGGGAAAATCCCTGGAAAAACAGGAGGGTTGACCAGTATGAAAATGGAAGTATAAAATGAAAGTAGTGATTTCCAAATTTTGTTTTTGTATTTTGACTTTCATTGTAGACAATATGAACACAAACTATTTCATTGTTTGTCTGGTCAACCTAATTTCATTTATAATTTATGCATCCTTTCCTGTCATTCAGACCTGCAACGCATTCCAAAAAAAGTTGGGAATGGAGCAATTTAGGGCTAGTAATTAGAGGAAGTGGATACAGGTACTTGACTGGCCTGTCTGCAGTCCCGGCCTGTCTCCAATATAGAATGTGTGGCTCATTTTGAAGCACAAAATGTGACAAAGTCCCCATACTTCTGCTCACCTTAAGACTTGTTTGCAGGAATGGGACAAAATTACTCATGAAACACTTCATCACTTTGTGTCTTCAGCCCCTAAACATTTTTTAAGTGTTGTGAAAAGGAATGGAAACATTACAAAGTGTTAAATGCTTTACTGTTCTGACTTTTTCAAATGTGTTGCAAGAACCAAGCTTGAAATACGTGTTTATTTTGAAAAATAATAAATAAATCAATAAAATAAAAATCGTAAGACATTAATTGTTTGATTTATTGTCTGTAATGAAATACAAGTCAAAGTAAATTTAGAAATCACTTCTTTCTTTTGTATTTGTGTTTTCCATACTCCCCCAACCTTTTCTGATTTGGGGTTGTAAAAAATAAAACAAATGAAAGGCTAAAAATATGAAAGCCAAAGCAAAAACAAAATATTAATAAACATCTGAAAATATATTTGCAGGTTAAGCACCTTAGCTTAGCAAGATGCTAATATCAATCTCTGGAATCAGTTATCATGTGTGCTTTTCATAAGGAGCATTTATGAGGGTTATTCTTCTCTTAGTTTAGCAATATGCTAACATGTTTTACATAATACTTTAGGAGTTTATCATTCTGTTAGGATGCAGTTAGCTTAGCAACATGCTACCCTCAAACGCTTAGAATAAATTGTAAGCTGAAAGTTTCTGTATGTGTGACGTCAGTGGCTTTCATTTTGAGACATAGGTAGTTTCTTATCTGATTATAATGCTTTTAGCTAAGCAACATGCAAATATTGAACATTTTTAGAATTGCGTGTAAAAAGGATTTTTAGTGTGTTTGACGTAAGTAGCATTATGTTTGAGACATCTGAGTATCCAATCTGATTATGAAACTTTTAACTAAGCAACAGGTTAACATCAAACCCAAACCAAATGTAAGCAGAGTCATTTATGAGCTCACTGATGTTGTGAAGTTTGATTTGATTAAATTTCTCCTTATTTAGAAAGAACCAAATGTATCTAATACTAAAAGGTGTCTTTCTGAATAGGATGTTGACTTTACTTGCGGTCACATTAGTGAAATTTCATGGGCAATATAGGTTCATTTATCATTGTCAGTACTGCATTAGCGTATGAAGTACAGCTCACACAGAGACTAATTTCAAAAGATGAAGCTTATAATGAGTTTTGAGCATAGCTACAGTTTCAGAAGTGTATCAACTTGAAATGTGACATCATGCTTTTTAATTGACAGGTTTATGTGTCTTATGACTATGGTGCCAACTTCACCCCGGTATCAGAGAAATTTCAGCTGCCCAGGGAGCAGGAGGACAAGAAACAGGTCATCTCGCAGTTTTACCACAGTCCTGCCGACAACAAACGGGTAAGAGACCGAGAGACATTAGCTGGCCTATCAGCATGGCATCCTTGAGTTGTCTTGTCTTTGTGAGCTTAAGCTGAGGTCATACAAGACTGCTGTGACACAGGCCATCTGCAGCTGTGACCTTCCACCACTCCAATACACCCACAGATGGTGTTATCCAAGAGAGCAACTGGGCAAAAATACAATTTACAGCCTGTACCATGGCTCCCCCGATAGATGTACACACAGATGGACTGACAACAAATCGGATTTGGACTTTTTTTTAATTTGTCTAGTCTCTGTTCTGGACTGCAAATGTACTTTACAGATAACTAGAGATAACTTTACATATTTTGCAACACTTTACCGATAAGACTTTTGTGTTTGGGCAGTTTTTATTATGGCTCATCGCTTGTAGTTTTATGTGTTTCAAGAGTCTGAATTAAGCTGGATAATCAAGGCCTTGAGACGAAGAACCATATAAGTTCATATTTAAAAATTTTGATTAATAAGATTTTTTAATTTGGGTTGTGAACATATTATATATTTTTTTTTTTTACTTGAAGACAACAAAAGCTTCTCAATTCTGAGGAGATTACATCTTTCAATGTCAGTATAAAAAACCCAAAGTTATTGTGATTCATATTGCTCAAATGTAATGGTATATGTCCAGTTAGTGTGGAATACCAGTATTCATCTTATCACTTTAAACAACAAAATATCTGACTACTTTATTTTAATTTTAATAGAATAACAGAAACGTCAGGTTAATATTAAGCATTTCTTTCAAGTTTATTATTATTATTATTATTTATATTATTAAAAACAAAAATGCAGTATGAACAATGTATAGACCTACTTACAGTACAGGCAATAACAATCAATTATTAACAATAAATAAATAAATACAAAAATAATTACATAAAATGCAGACATACATCATAGTATCATCTGGTGCTGCGCACCTGTGTATATGCTACTTCAAGCTGTTCTGGCACTCTGCCATCTCACGATATAAATAAATATATATACAAATAAACACTGCCTGCCGTAGTTTACACAGGACTGGTGGGAAATATGCATTGATACAGCTTGACCTGCGATGTGCCTTCACCATTTGCAATTATTCTCAATGTATAGTTTGTCTAAAGTGATGTATACAAACGATATAGTATACTATGACCAGGGATACAGTCAGCCAGCGCAGTCATCTAAAAATCAACATTTTGTGTCTGCTGTTTTGTTTACTTGCTGGCATTTTCCCACACATTAATTCTGACCAATTGAGCAGTTAAAGAAATGTGTTCAATAACATCTGGCTAATGAGTGATGTGGATTTTGTCACATGACTGCATTTTAGTTCTTTTCAACTGGTTCGGACCAAAGCAATCAGTGTGGTGTTGTTGCCCTTGGTCTGGACTAAATGAACCGAACCACAGATGTGAAAGCACATCTGATAATGTCATAGTTGAGCTGGTCTCTACTGCCATGTCATGACATTCTGAATCACCCTCAACCACCTGTTTTTGAATCACCTGTTGTGTGTTTTGAGTTCATACACACCAACTTTAAAGATATATGACACTGTTAACAAGTGTCTGTCTTTTCTCCTTGCTTCTCACACGAGCATGTTATAAATACTCAGACAGATGTTTCACAAACATATCCACCTTGTCTACTGATCACGATGCATCCATGTTGAGTGCTGCTATCCATTAAAATAATCGTACAGTGGCTGTAGCTGACTAGGTGTCTCTTGTAGCAAATCCCATCACACGGGTAGTGAACATTCTCTCCAGCCAATCAATATCAGCAGTGTTTAAATGTGACGTTTTCGTAACACTACAGTTCACTTGAAAATCGCCCCAAAAGTGAGTTGTACCAAATCATGCTGTAGCTAACAGTGGAAAAGTGCCATAAAAGGAAAACCAATGTCAGATTTTTTTGTAGAAGTATTTTCTATTTAGACTATCTCTGTATAATGCATATTAACAACAAGTGAAGCTTCTTCTTGATAAGCACTAACAATGAAACTGCTTAAATATTGCTATGGGATAAGTGCCACCTAGTGGACGAGACTAAATTAGCATTTTTATTCAGCCTGTATGCTGTTTTTTTGCTTTGTGTAACCTAATTTTACAAACTAAAGTCAATCATTATGTTTTCATTTATAGACCATTTCAATGTGGTGATGTCATTGGCCTATGAACATTTCCTGCTTGATGCCAAACTATTTCAGAACTGTAACAAGAAGCAATTCAATCATAATGTTACGTAAACCAGCTATCATAACAATATTTTTTCAGTATGTGGCTCTTTTTAGATAATCAGAAACTATAGAAATTTTAAATGTAAAACAGGAAATACCATTGTTGGGACCATTGTTATTGTTTACATCCCTCAGAATGGTCTATACTTTGAAATGATTGCACATAATTAAAGCAAACTATTTTTGATGTACATTGGAATTGGGCAGGATACTTGTAAAAAAATCAGAATTCGGAATCGGCTGTGAGAATTCAAGAACAGTGCATCACGAGCCACGGGTTACTTTGGTTGGACTCTGCGGGTTGCAGAGGCTCATGGGAGCTGCAGATGGGGCAGTAGCGCTGTGGGACTCTGCATTGCGTCTTTGCAGGGCTGACGGCAGCAGAAGGTGACCATTCATCTGGAGTCAATGATGTGGCTGGCTCTGGAGCTGCTGGAGTATTGGCGCTAAAGCATTACCAGTGTAATCTGCACAGCGTACAGCCTCTTGGTAGGAGCACAGGGATGTTTAATTACATTTTAGTGATCGGAGTCATTCGCATTGTTGATCTGATTGTGGAGAAGAAACTCGGTGGTACAGATGGGATGTTGGCAGGGTGCTTGTGCGCTTTGTTGTGGAGTGTTTAATGGATTTATGATGAAGTAATAATCGTGACGTTAAATCTCTTATGAATAACTGCGAAGAATGAGCAGACACTTATGATTGATTCTGAGTCCTTGAAGACACACTGGGCCTGTTTGTTTGATTGATGGTGGCTTTGACTTGGAAGTGTGAATTGGTTTTCTAATGATTTGCTGACTATTATTATGCTTTTTTAAAAAGATTTATATTATTTAGATTTATTAGGATAGGACAGTATATTAATCAAGACGTGAATTTAGAGGGAGTAGGAGGCGGGGAATTCGATCTTGAAAGTTCTGCGAGTCGGGACTCAAACTTGGGACAGTAATTAAACAGTTTTTTTTTTTACATTTATAGTATTATATCAGGCCTGGTGAAAAGGGTGGTTCTTTTTTTCTCAAAATGTGGGCCTTTTTGCAGTTATTCACCTAATTTTCTATTTAATTATGAGATGATAAATATGAGTTGCATTTTAGTGACATTTTAATCACTATTTTTAGCTGGAAAAGCTTGTTGGATGGTCATTATAACTATACCTTTTGATGTACCAAAACATTTGCTAAATATTTGGAACAAAGAAATATGAATAAATACTTATTTTTAAAATACATATTACATCATTAGAAAACTCTTATGATAATCTCTTAAAATTAAAAACTGTAGCCTATTGTCATTTATTAGGCAAATAACAAACTGGCACAGCACATTACATTTTCAGAATTTTGCCATTTGAATTAGAAATGTTTTTAAAAAATGAATAATGTAGAGCTTCATTATTTTTCTAGCCTCTCTCTGGGCCGCTTTTGATGCTTCACACCTTTTTATTGGTCACTTTTGTTTCGGAAATAAGGTCCAAGACTTAGGAAAAAATTACTTGTAAAATGTTTTCTTTATTTAAAAACAATACTGTAGGTCAATAGTGAAAGATGACTTCACTTACGTCAGATTTTCTTGCACAGCTGGAAGTTGAACTGAAAAATATTATGAAATATATTTGTTAGCATTGGTCAAAACTGATTAGCTGAAGTCACACCGAATCGACAGTTAACAGAAAATTCCACTTGGTCTTATAGACTTCTTTGATGGGTTATTTTCAGTATTTTTGATGGCATAGCAGTCAAAATAGCACAAATGGGTTCATGTATGGGACAAGTTCTAGACCAGGGGTCGTTTCAGTGACTGACAATTTATAGGAGGGCTGTTTTAACATTCAAGCGCAATAAAAAAATGGAAACCTTGAGTTATTGATGCATAGGACAACAGACTTGACGTTTATATTTCAAGCATTACCTGTCACCAGTGGTAATGCAAATCAGCATGTTTATCATGTCACACATCAGCTGCTGAAATATATCTGTGGACGTTGTGTGTGTGGCCGAGCATTAGATGCACACAGTCATTCTTCCAGTGTATATGCAGTAAAAACTCTAGCTTTTTGTAGCTTTTTGTTTCTTGTTGCATGTATTGAAAGGGTAGTTTAAATAGCTATGAAAATGCTACAAATAAAAGGCATAATAATTATTATTCTTTTCCAACCAATTGTATTGTCCTAAAATCCTAATGACAGCACAAAGCAGTATGGGTAATTTACAGTAAGTGACTTTACTGGCAGTTGTTCTTTTCAATATCTTTCTTTTCTTTTGCAAAACTACAAAGAGGGAGAAAAGTATGTATGTACATATTCACATTTACTTTAACATGTTCACCCCAACCAGCAGTGCAATTTTACTAATATACAGTTGCAATCAAAATGATTAAACCCCCTTTGATTTTTTTTCTTTTTTAAATATTTCCCAACTGATGTTTAACAGAGCAAGGACATTTTTACAGTATGTCTGATAATATTTTTCTTCTGAAGAAAGTCTTGTTTGTTTTATTTATGCTAGACTAAAAGCAGTTTTTAATAATAATAAAAAATAAAACATTTTAAGGTCAAAATGATAAGCCCCTTTAAGCTATAATAGTCTACAGAACAAACCATCGTTATACAATAACTTGCCTAATTCCTCTTACCTGCCAAGTTAACCTAAATAACCAGTTAAGCCTTTAAATGTCACTTTAAGCTAGAAGTGTCTTGAAAAATATCTAGTCAAATATTATTTACTGTCATCATGGCAACGATAAAAGAACT